GCAGTGAAAAAAGTGATTTAGGATTGTTTTTCAAAGTTACAACATTTGCAGCATCCCTATGATCGTGTGTTCAAATTATCAGATGCTTGGCAACTGTTTCATATTTATGACCGTTGCTGTGTCCCAAGGTCATGTGATCACCTTTTGCGACCTTTTGACAAACAAAGTCAACAGGGAAGCTGGATTCGCTTAACGACTGGGTGACTAAATGATCAACTGCAGTAATTCACTTAATGACTCTGGCAAGGAAGATCGTAAAATGGGGCAAAACTCGCTTCACAAATGCCTCGCTTAACAACACGAAATTTTGGGCTCAGTTGTGGTTGTAAATCGAGGATGACCTGTACTTTTGAAAGGAATTGCGCTACTCAAAATGAGCAAGAGCTATATTTGAGAGAACTTACATGAGAGGAATTTGAATTAAAAAACAAAACAAAACGACATGGAAGAAATCTCCATGTTAAAAAGAAGAAAAGCCGGATGATTTTCCACCTCTGAGAAATTTTCTTCAGCAAATTCTATTAAACAGTTCCACAACTTAATGGAAGACACATCAGAGCCTTTGAACTTTAGAAATGTAAATAATTAAAATACACATATTTTTAAACCCAGAAAACTTTACCAGATTGGAATATTGTCTTCTTAATGTACACGGTAAAAAGACATGGTGTTATGTTGATTCACACATCTCTAATAAACCATAGTCTACCAATTATTTTTTTTGTTGCTAAGAAATAAATCTGTCCTCACAATGTTTTCTAGTTTGAATGATGAGTGTCAAATCACTGGGAAAACTGACAAGCAGAAGACAGGGTGTCTTAAAATGGTCCTGAATTTAATTCAGTGTTATTAATGCCTGACAAAATCCATCCAACTTGGGCTTCTGCTATCAAAGTTATAGCAGATTTGTAATATATGTATCTTGCTTTTCTCTTTGGTGACCATATCGCATGCACTCCTTTTTCACTGGAAGGACTGAAAAACGTGCCCTTTGAGGTTTGGAGAATTGGGAAATTATATATTTGAAAGGAGTCCCCAAAAGTAATCAAGACTCATTGGGCAGGGATAGGCTTCAAGGTTTAGTGACCATGATCTAGATCAGTGGTTCCCAACGTGGGCCCCAACCTTGCTTAAACCAAGTTAGAGGAGGTGCGGTGACTCAGTGGCTAAGATGCTGAGCTTGTTGACCAGAAAGGTCGGCAGTTCGGTGGTTCGAATCCCTAGCACTGTGTAACGGAGTGAGCTCCTGTTACTTGTCCCAGCTTCTGCCAACCTAGCAGTTCGAAAGCACATAAAAAAATGCAAGTAGAAAAATAGGGACCGCCTTTGGTGGGAAGGTAACAGCTTTCCGTGCGCCTTTGGCGTTCAGTCATGCCGGCCACATGACCACGGAGACGTCTTCGGACAGCGCTGGTTCTTCGGCTTTGAAACGGAGATGAGTACCACCCCCTAGAGTCGGGAACGACTAGCACACATGTGCGAGGTGAACCTTTACCTTTACCTTAAACCAAGTTAATAGCCTTTTAGGCTTCCTCCTATGAGTGGGGGGGGCATCAGGATTTTCGAGATGCTTAGGTGGGGCATGGCCAAAAGAAAGGTTGGGAACCATTGGTCTAGATCCTGAAAACTATGTCTAAAATCTGAAGCCCAATAGATACTGGCCATGGAAGTCTACACCAGTGTAATGTAGACTTGCTTATTCGTTTTTTAAAAAATTTTTATCCTGCCTTTATTACTTTTATAAATAATTTACAACTCAATGCAGTGAGCATAGGTCATCCTCCTTCCTCGTCACCCATGAAGTGATTTGGGTTGAGAAAGTGTGAGTAGCTCAAGGTCACCCATGCCAAAGATAGAACTACAACTCACAGTCACCTAGTTTCTAGCCTGGTGTTGTGGCCCACCAGTGGAGCTGGTAGCAGATTCGGACAGTGAGGAGGTTGGGGAGGAACACTGGGCCAGTTCTGGAGTCTGGGGAAGTCTCTGATAAGGACTCTGCATTGGAGGCAGAGAGGGGGCCAGGGCTATATGACAGGTTTCAGCTTCCTTCGGAGTCGGACATCAGTGAGGCAGACGAACAGCTGGAGCCTGTTCCCAGTGTGCGCATGTACAGAGTTGCCAGACAAAGGGAACAGCTAAAGAACAAGGGTTGACTTGGGAGTAAGGCCACAGGTGGATGATGAAGGACCCCTCCCATAGAGAATAAAAGAGGAGCGAATGGGGAGTGGAGTTTGCAGGAGACAATTAGTTCATTCCTGCATTCTTGCCAAGTATTGTTGATTACAGTGTGGCGTCTGAAAGATATCGGCCTGGCCACTCTCCAAGCTTGATGAAGGTCGATAATTGTGAACTCTCTTGAAAGACTGTGGGAGAGAAAAGACTTTGCTGGAGAGGAATCCACTGTAAATTAAATAAAAGGGGTTTATTGGGACGAGGACTTGGCTTTGTGCTGCTGGGGAAGCCTAGATCAGAACACCTTTTGCCTTTTATATCTTTTGTGTTCCTTCTGATACCAAAGATGTAATGCTGTTCCATCTCAGACAAACCTCTGTCGAACTATAGCTAAGAAGATATATCCACCAGGACAGGCTGCTTCCACCCATCCTTTATCTCAAGAACCTGTCCCTAAAGTTTACTTTCCTCTTGCAAAATTTTCTTGCAAGAAGAAACCTTTCCTCTTGCAAATTTAATCTAATAATTTGGGGCATGCACTCTTCAGAAACCGGGAACCATTCCGCCCTATTAAGTTCTCAAAACATCGTTCCTTCCCTTGCTAAGCACCTGTGAGATGTCTGAGAGAACGCCTGCTAACCCAACCTCCCCTTCACGGATGAAAAATGGATCAAATCTTACAAGAGTACCAAATCACGTCCCATTTTCAACAAGAATGTTAAAATCTTGTGAGGACTGAGATTGCTAACGTCTAATGAGAGCTGACCCTTTTAAATAGTTGTGGTGCCCATTCCATCACACAAGATGGTAACTGGCGTTGGTAAACTGGCATCTGAAAAGATGGCTGGCCTCTTATTATTTAAACAAAATCTTTCTTTATTTCTTCACTGTCTTTACCTAGGACTAAGAATGCCAAATTGTTTTCCTTGCGGGACCGAATCTCTAGGCCAGGGGTGCCAAACTCGATTTCATTGAGGGCCGCATCACGGTTGTGTTTGACCTCAGGGGGCGGGAGCGTGGCCAGGGTGGGCGTGGCTAGTTAGACGTCACTTGTGTCAGGGACATCTGAGTGCTCTGCCAGTGAAAACAGGCTCCCGAGCTCCATTTTTGGCTGCAACGGCCTCCTGCAACCCTTTGCCGAGCTCCATTTTCACTGGAAGAGGCACCGTGGGCCAGTCCTTCGCTGTTTCCATGGTGGTCCCGTGGGCCAGATCTGAGTTTGATACCCCTGATCTAGGCCAGAAGTGGGTTTCAGCAGGTTCTGACCAGTTCTGGAGAACCGGTAGCAGAAATTTTGAGTAGTTCGGAGAACCGGTAGTAAAAATTCTGACTGGCCCCACCCCCATCTATTCTCTGCCTCCCGAGTCCCAGCTGATGGGGAGGAAATGGAGACTTTACAGTATCCTTTCCCTGCCACGCCCACCAAGCCACGCCCACCAAGCCATGCCACGCCACCAAGCCACACTCACAAAACCGGTAGTAAAATTTTTGAAACCCATCACTGATCTAGGCTCTTCACCATCATTGTTCTGTTTATCAAAGTTGGGCCATATTTCTACATCTATCTCTGATCTCCAGTTTGACAATTACAGAGAAATTGAGCATTCTTTTAAAATGTTACTGCACATACAGCAGTATTGAAAGCTGGGCAAAACACCAAAGAAATAAAATATTTGATTTTACATATTATAACAGCTGCACGCATATGACACGCACAAAATTGGAAAAGGGAAAACATACCAACAGAAGAAGAATTGATTAAAAAAAATCCTAGAATGTGCGACAAATTAACAAAAGAGCTCAAAGAAAAGGAAGATACGGAATATTATATAATCTGGAATAAATGGTATAAGTGGCTAGAGGCTAGAAATAATGGATAATAAAAATAGGGGTGAATTTGAAAATGGAAAGAACAAATATGATAATGTATAGAATGTATAAAACCAATATGATTGTTAAGAAGTATAATGTAAGAGAGCCTTGATAGTACAGTGGTCTACGCACCCTGTTATTAACACAGCTGCCTGCAATTTACTGCTGGTTCGAATCTCTCCAAGGCTCAAGGTTGACTCAGCCTTCCATCCTTTCTAAGGTAGGTGAAATGAGGACCCAGTTTGTGGGGGCAATAAGCTGACTTTGTATAAAAATACAAAAAAAAGTATGAAGGCTATTGCTTAACGCATTGTAAGCCGCCCTGAGTCTCCGGAGAAGGGCGGCATATAAATCAAATTAAAAAAAAATGTAATTAAAAGAGAAAGGGACAAGAAGAAAATGAAATAGTATAAAGGGAATCGGGAGAGAATGTAAATATTAGAAGATGACCATCATGATATTTATATATATATATATATGTTTGGTGTTTGGTGTTTGTCATATTGTGTTATAATAATAATAAAAAAATTGCCAAACTGACTCATTCATTCAAAAACTGAGAGATAACCATGCAATGGGTCATAGCAGTAAATTGTTTCTCTAAAGCAGGGGTCAGCAACCTGCGGCTCCGGAGCCACATGTGACTCTTTGGGCCCTCTGCTGTGGCTCCCTGTTGGGTGATCCCACCACTGGCTGGCCCTGCCCCTCGCCCTCCCCTCTCAGTCACTCCTCGCATGGCCTGAGAAGCAGCCGGGACAGAGACATACAGAGAGAGGGTGAGAGAGACATAGAGAGATACAGAGAGAGAGGGGGACATTGAGTTGGCCATGCCCACCCAGGTTTTGTGGCTCCCGATGTTTTCTTTTCTGTGGGAAACAGGTCCATATAGCTCTTTGAGTGTTTAAGGTTGCCGACCCCTGCTCTAAAGAAAGCAGGGTAAGTTTTGGGGGATTTACCTTTCTCATAGCTGTACCTCCTTGGCGCTCAGCAGCAGAGCTGGCATACCTGCAAAGAGATCATGGAAGAAAAGATTTCAAAAACACAAACTGAATGAATAATAAATGCCATTTATACTGGTTACAGTGACAGGTTGCCTCTATGAACTATCAACTCTCTCTCATTGCTCCTGCAAGTTTTAGCACCGAAGGATCAATGAACAAAAAAAGCAGTTCAGAATCATTTGGCATTTGGGCAAGAACTGGACAAACCGCCAAAGTCATTCCGTTACTTGAAAAAGAGGTTTGTTGGGAAGTGGATTTTTGGAAGTCTTTAGGATTCTAGCTTGGAAAGTAACACATATGGACTGGACTGGTGGAAGGAATACAGTCCCAGAAATGTAAGGCTATAACATATGAAGAACAGTTGCAGGAACTGGATATATCTAGAGCCTTTGCTTGTTCATCTTTTTATTTCCTCTTGTGGTCAACCAAAGACTAATCTCACAAGGAGGATACAAGCAATAGCACTTTCCCAACGTGACTTAATCACAGGCGACCAGAGCATGTTGTTGAGATCTTAGGTTCATATACACCCAGGGATGGGCTGCTGGGGGTTCGCAGGGGTTCGGGAGAACCTCTAACTAAGATTCTGTGCAGTTCGGAGAACTCCCAAATCCCACTCCTGGCTCGCCCCGCCTACCCCGCCACTCCCAGGAGTCCCCATGTGGCCCATGTTGGATGCAGGTAAGTGCAGGGTGTGCATGGAGGCTTGGGGAGGGCGAAAAACAGGCCTACCGGAAGTTCAGGAGAAATGGGCCCATTTCTGGCCTCCAGAGGGCCTCTGGAGCCTGGGGAGGCCATTTTCACCTTCCTGGAGGCTCAAGGAAAGCCTCCAGAGCCTGGGGAGGACAGAAATGCTCTCCCCCCCCATGGTGCAGGAGGCCGACTAGGCCACACCCACCATGGCCACACCCACCCAGCAACCAGATAGAGAACCCCTTGCTAAAATGTTTGAAGCCCACCCCTGTATACACCCACTGTGATTATCTTCTGACATCTTCATCTCTCAGAATTTCCAGGCCCTCTTTGAAGTCGCCCAAGCTGTCTACCACTACGTCATTTGCTCTGAGAAATACACATTTTGTCTGGATTGCCTACGCATCAATTTCTGGATTCTATTTATAACATGTTCTAGAACCCTCCATCAAGTTTTTTTTTAACTTGCTTTTTTTCCTCTTCTTCTTAAAATGAGAAGGAGAACCTTTGAGGTGCCCAATTATTTAAGAAAGGTCTACATACTGGTTTTTGACGATTTAGGGAATGCTTAAAGTGTGTTGAACTTCAGGGGCCTAGGATGAGTTTTATTTCATATATATCTAAGTGTCTGTCTCTGTCTCTATCTACAACGCTGAAAATTAATGATTTTGCTGTCAAATTTTGGCAGACTAATCATGAATAAAGGAGCCACAAAGCGTGAACTTTGTCTGCCTGTATCTCTGAAAGCTGCTGAGATTTTTCATACCCTCCAGGCTTGGTGCCGTGGGTTTCTCCTAATTCTAAGCATTGCTCTAACTAATCTGAAACTTGTCAGTTCCAATGTTTCTCCGCATTTTTTACGATCAGTGCCCATCTGGACAAAATCCTGCTGAGGCAAAGGTTGAATTCTGTGTTGTGAAACCAGAATACAGAACTGAATTCTTGCAAGAGAATCACGCGGCTGTTTGCTTTTCCTATCGAGAAATCCCTGTTTAGATTGTCAGTTGACCTAATCAACTGTAACTATAGAATGTGTCCAGGAATAATTTCAGACAGCCTGCTTTTCCCACACGGGGAGCAGATCAGCATATGGAAACTACAGGTCTTAAACAAACTTGAGGAATTACACGGGGTTTATACTATGTGACAATCTAGGTAAAAACAGGACTGGCTATTTTGTGGATGAGTCTTAGAGAAAACTCAGCTGTTGTCTTATCATGTGGTACGAAGCAGACCGTCTTGATGTCTATGGAGATTTTCGAACATCCAGGTCATGGTTTATCCCAAAGGTGCTTTTTCGAAAAGGCAGCTGGACTTTCTTTCTTTCTTTCTTTCTTTCTTTCTTTCTTTCTTTCTTTCTTTTTCTTTCTTTCTTTCTTTCTTTCTTTTCTTTCTTTTCTTTCTTTCTTTTTCTTTCTTTTCTTTCTTTTTCTTTCTTTCTTTCTTTCTTTCCTTCCTTCCTTCCTTCCTTTCTTCCTTCTTTCTTCTCTTTCTTTCCTTCCTTCCTCCCTTCCTTTCTCCTTCCTTCCTTCCTTCCTTCCTTCCTTCCTTCCTTCCTTCCTTCCTTCCTTCCTCCTCCTCTCCCTCCCTCCCTCCCTCCCTCCCTCCTTTTTCCTGACAATTTGAATAATCAATCATTGGAATAACTTGCCTCCAGAGGTTGTGGGAGCTCCAGCACTGGCGGTTTTTAAGAAAAGATTGGACAACTATTTGTCTGAAATGATATAGCATTTCCTGTTTCAACAGAGGGTTGGACTAGAAGACCTCCAAGATCCCTTTCAACTGTTATCCTGTTCTTGACGAATGTATCTTGTCTTTTTATGTACACTGAGAGCATATGCACCAAAGACAAATTCCTTGTGTGTCCAATTATACTTGGCCAATAAAGAATTCTATTCTATTCTATTCTATTCTATTCTATTCTATTCTATTCTATTCTATTCTATTCTATTCTATTCTATTCTATTCTATTCTATCTATTCTATTCTATACTATTCTATACTATTCTATTCTCTTTCTCTTCTCTTCTCTTCTCTTCTCTTCTCTTCTCTTCTCTTCTCTTCTCTTCTCTATCTTCTCTCTCTTCTCTTCCTCTATTCCATTCTTCTCCATTCCATTCCATTCTCCTTCCATTCCTCTCCTTCTCTCTTCTCTTCCTCTCCTCTTCTCTCTCTCTCTTCTCTCCTTCTCTCTCCTCTCCTCTCCTCTCCTCTCCTCTCCTCTCCTCTCCTCTCCTCTCCTCCATTCCATTCCATTCCATTCCATTCCATTCCATTCTAAACAATGCTTGTGAGAAGAAAGACGATGGAGATTTATAAAGCTATATACATGATAGGGTCAGAGTGGATGTAGTAAAGCTTTTCTTTCCCTTTTGCAATGTTGTCACTCAAGGTCATCCCTTGAAACTGGGTGATAAGAGGTAAAGTAACACCTTGCACAGCCCAATGATGGGATTCCGTTTAAGTTCTCGGCGCGCATGAACTTAATACTCTGCGATCCAGCTCCTGCGCTCTTCATTTCACAGCTCCTGCGGGGATCCATGCATCCTACCTAAACAGCAGAAACCATTTCAGAACCTGTATCAAATCTAGAAAGCTGCTGGACTTCGACTTATCATTTCAGTGCAGGGCACAGTTGCACGCTGAGCCAGAAGGATCCAAAAAAACCCCAAATCCTCTTTTCCTCTCTCTGTTTTTTTTTTTTTTTTGCGGGCATTATTGGCCTAAGCAGCAGGAGAGCCAGCTCGCTGCTGAATTGGCTACAGCCAGGCATTCCTTCAGGGTCAGCAGTTTGAAACGTCAGGTGGGAGAAAACCTCAGCTGTGACTGAAAAGGCCTCTCTCGACTTCCTGCTGGCTTTTGGACTGAGCCCCGCCGAGCAAAAAGGCCAAAGAAGCAGCACGTTCCTAGCTGAACAAAAGAGGAAGAGATCAGGGTTCGCATCAAGCCGATTTAGAAACTCACGCTGGTCTGCTGATTCAAGAAATAAAAAACAGGTTTTCAACCCAAAAGGGAGAACTTTTGAAAGTAGGCAGCATAAATACGGCCGGTGTGGCAAAATCGTCCATCTGAGGATGGACTTCGTAATCCTTGAAAAATAAGTTTGCAACTGTGGCGAATAGCTGAACTTGAAGCATAGTTTTTTGTAGTACAAAAACGACACCGACTATCCAACGTGGGTTTATTTATATTTTAAATCTGCTTTCCCCCCCCCAAATGTATTGCTAATAATTTGCTGTGAGCCTTAACTTTCAAGAAAACCCTCTCTTTCAGAAACCAGGAGGAGCCTTCGATATGTGACAGATAACAGTTTAAATTTTAGCTGTTCTCAAGCCTCCGTAAACAAAGCAAATATTTCAGCTCAACCTTGGGAAGTGCTGTGCATGTATCTTATCCATATCCATTTTGATGTTTTTCCTTAGCAAATGTTTCTTTTAATTTTACTCAGAATACAATGCTCTTTTCTAGGGCTATGCTCGCATATCATTGGATGCTTTAATTCTTGGGATGTAATGGAGCCAGTGGTGGGATTTAAATAATTTAACAACCGGTTCTCTGATCTAATGACCGGCTGGATGGGTGTGGCCATGGTGGGCGTGACAGGGGGTGTGACAGCCTCCTGCACCCCCCTGGGAGCAAAAACAGGCCGCGCTGCACTTACTAGGCCCAAAATGGGGCACGGGGGTGCGGCACATATCCTCTCTCCCCCCCCCCCGCGGCCTGTTTTTGCTCCCAGTTCAGGCGAACTGGCTAGTTACTGGCTAGCCCCGCACCTTCCAAAAGTCCCCACGTGCCCCATTTTGGCCATTTCCGATCTCCGGACGGGCTCCAGGGGGATGGGGAAGGCTGTTTTCACCCTCTCAGTCTCCTAGAGAGGCTCTGGAGCCTGGGGAGAGCAGAAAACAGGCTTACTGGACCCACTGTACCATCGCGTGCCAAAAGCGGGGGGCCCTCTCTGTCCAAAATGCGGACTTTGTTGTCTTCAAAAGAGTGCCCCATGTCTTTTAAATGCAGATGGACTGCTGAATCGAGTCCTGATGTGTTTGTTAGGACTGTTTTGGCCTTTACCGTATGCCAAGGTATAAATTGGATTGCAAGCAATTGATGGAATTGTTGGATTATGAGCAATGGATGGGCTTGTAACATCCATCGGTTCCCACATCATAGCTGAGAGCGAGATGTTGAGCCAATTTGTATATACCATAAATCGGTCCCCTTTCACAGCTTTTTTTTCCCAGTAGCGTCAACCCATCCGTTTGCAGGCAGACCGGTGCAATCAATATTCTTTGGCGCTTCTCCACCAGCCTCAGAG